CAATATTTGGGAATATGGGCATAGTTCTGCCCAAACTTCTTCCTGCTGCTTATTGGGCAAAGTAGTATTTTTTTGAGGGGTGTTCAAGGCGGCCTTTCAGGAGGTCTTGGTCCATCAAACCACATCAGTCTGGAAGGATTCCACAGATTCCCATCCTCTGTGGAAATGAAAGAAAAACCTTTTTTTCCAAAGTAACATATCCTTAGACCCAAATTCTGAAATCAAGATACCTTTAAAGTGTAAGTTGGTTTAGCTTAGCAGCCCATGCAATGAAATGTCTCTCTGTCATTCACAGTCAAAAAAATCCAAAGCAAACACAATAGTATATATAATCCCGACTCTCTTTGCATATTCTATCTTTACATGGCTGATTATTTTTTTACTTCTTTCAATCTAGGACTGTCTGCACTCTATTTCTTTAAAGATTTTGTTTCATTTTTTTAATAAACCATTTACTTCTTTTATAACTCTCTATACTCCTTCTCTTTCCCAAGCCTATGTACATTTTTTAAACACACTGTGTCTCATTTAGAGGTCTTTTTCATCTGAATTTGTCTTTATTGCATAGCTGTAATTATTTTCTGACCAGAAGTACTTCTTAAAATGCTAAGTACTTCTTAAAAACTTAAGCTGCACCGTCACTAGGGTATATACGGCCTACCTGCTTGTTCCGCCCAGTCCAACATGGCGGAGGAAGTCTGTTCACTGCCTCTGAGCCACCGTGCACACATACAGAAGGAAATCCCATACCATTAACTGAGTGGTTTTCAACCTTCCTAACGCTGTGACCCTTTAATACAGTTCCTCATGTTATGGTGACCCCCAACCATAAAGTTATTTCATTGGTGCTTCATAACTGTAATTTTGCTACTGATATGAATTGTAATACAGGATATCTGATATATGGTCCCTGTGAAAGGATCATTTGACACCAAAGGGATTGTGACCCATAGGTTGAGAAACATTGCCCTAAGCACTGTTTGAACTTTCTGTTAATGTAATCTTGCATTTTCCTAAGATTCAAATTACTTTATAGTTTTTCTCATGACTCTGTTCAGCCTATGAATTATTAAGAAATATGTTTAAGTTTCAAGAATTTGGGAATTTGCTAGATTTTGTTGAAGTTTGCTTTCAGGCCTGAAATACAAGTACTTGGTAAATATTCCATATACACTTAGTTTTGTGACTTTGTTCTTGTGGGCAGAGCATTCTGTAAATGACAACTGAGACAAGGAGGTTGTTGATATGTTCTACATGGTTTTGATTTTCTGAGCCTATTCTATCAGTTACTGAGGGAGGGACATTGACATCTGTTCCCTTCATGGATCGTCTGTTACCCCCTTCTTTCTTGGTCTTTGCTTCATATTGTCAGGGCTCAGGTGTTAGGTGCAAACACATCTGGTACTGTTATATTTTCTTCCTAAGATTGCTTCCTTTGTCACTGTTTTGCTCTGTCTTTATTGTTGGTAATGATACTTGCTTTGAGGTGTCTGTTAGTATAGGCACTCTGGTTTCCCCCCCCCCCCCCAACGTTTATTTGTGTGTGTGTGTGTGTGTGTGTGTGTGTGTGTAGGAGGAGGAGGAGGAGGAGTGCATATACCACAGTGTACATATGGAGGTCAGAGAACAACTTGTAGGAGGTTCCAGGGATTAAACTCAGGTCCTAGGATTTGGTAGCAAGTGTCTTGATCAACTAACCAGCTTGCTGGGCCTTCAGGTTTCTTTTGATTAGTTTTTGCCTGGTGTGTAGCTTCCTGTTTGGATTTTTTTTCCTCTTGCTTTGTGAGCAATTGCCACACATTTACTAGACTCGAAGCCACAGCTGTTTCTTGGTTCATAGTTCTGTGGGTAAAAAGCTCTGCCCAGATATTCATACTTCGAAATCAGTGAGTCAGGTGTGCTGTGTTCCATCTGGAGACTGGGGAATAATCTAATTCTAAGCCCATGGACATTTTTTTTTTTCGAGAATTTGTTTCCTTTCAGTAGAGGGCTGAGTTCCCTATTGACCTGCCAATAGCCAGTTTCCCTCGGCTTTTGAGGGCCTTGTTTGCTCCGTAGCTCTCTCTGCCTGGCAGTGGCAATCCTCCCTCGTACTTGACATTTGTCTGAGTGCTCTTCCATTACCAGCTGGAGTGCATATGTTGTAAAATCACAAACTGTCTTTGTCTTTATATCTAAATTGAGTTTTTCTGTAGACAGAATACATAGTCTTTCTTTTTTCATCCCATCTGATGGTCTCTGCTTTTCACCAATGGATTTAGACCTTCCATATTTACTAAATTCTCAATGTGTTTGAGTTAAACTCTACCATTTTTGGTTGTTTGTTGTTTCTTCCATGTGTTTTTTTTTTTTTTCTCTCTTATTTGGTTGTGTATGGGGGTGGGTATTGCCTCTCTTATGTGCTTTTAGGTTTTTAATGATTGTTCCTGGGTTCACAATATACAGCTTTAAATAATTGTAGTCTGATTTCGAGACCTGTGAAGCTCATGTATAATGTATGGCCTTTACAACAGAGTGTACACCCTCCACACACATACGCACTGCCTTAAGCTGTGTCATTCTTTTTACTTTGACCTTTATTCTAAGCCCGGAACACATTTCTGTTGTTTTACTATGTACAGTAAAAGAAAATAATTCAAAATATGTATTTTACTCTCATTAACTTTGGCCATTTCTGGAGATGGTTGTTTCTTTATGTAAATCTCTGTTCCTATCCTGCCATAATCCCTCTGCTGAACTTCCTTTACTTGTAGCACAAATTGGCTTATTTGAATTCCCTATCTTGAGTATGGAACTGAAGGCTCACAGGTTTGTTTGTTTTTCAGTGCTTTATGAAGACACGTCTTTTGCCAGGCTGTCAGTATGTAACTACAGTTCCAAGGGTTCTGCTACCCACTTCTGGCCTCAGTGGGCACCAGGCACATATATGGTGCACATGCATATACATAGAGGGAAAACACTCACACATAAAATAAATAAATCCAAAATTAAAATAAAAAGATATTTTAAAATTATTCTTTAAGAGATGAGTTCTTGTTGCTCAGGCTGGCCCCAAACTGCTGAACTTCCATGCTTCAGCCCTTCTGAGTAGTTAGAATTGCAGACACATGCCACCATGCCCAGTTTAGAAAGGTTTGTTTGACTCACAGTTTTAGGAGTTCATTCTCTGGGTGACGAACGCCAGTGCTGGAAGAACTGAGGTAAGTAGATGAGGCAGCACATGGCAGCAGAAAGAACCTGATAAGCAGTGTTCACTTTATGGCCAGGAAGCATGTATCAGGTGTGTTGAGGGATAGGGAAGGGAGGGACTGGATCCTGTTATCCCTTTGAGAATATATCTCCAATGACTAGAAGACTTCCTAGGACCCCCAAGGTTTTCACTTCCTCCCAGTAGTAGTAAGCTGGGGACACATGGGGACATTGTCCTTGGAGGAACATTCCCCATCCTAACTATATTACTATGTCTAGGTATTTGTTGTGGTATTTATTCTATTTGGGGTTCTCTGGACATGTTGGATCTGGATTTTTATGTTTTTGATTGTTAATGGAAGATTCTTCAGTCTCCTTCATACCCTCTTTTCCTTTTGCAATTCTGATTGCACTTTGAATGATGTGTGTCCATAGTTTTGTGTGCTCCTCTTGTCTCTTTGGGAATCAGTTTGGGTCCTTTGTATTTGGCATCATCTCTTGGCCTCTCTTTCACTGATTCTCTCTGTCAGATGTCACGATGAGCCTCATGAAGTCATTTTGCATTGCTGCTGCTGTGGCTTTATTTTTAGCATTTCTATATGACATTTAGACTTTCTCACTCCCTGCTGAAATGCCTCATCTGTTCTACTTTGCCTGCTTTTTCCATGGGAGCTTTTAATGTTTGTCATAATTACTTTAAATTCTTACCTGGAGTCCTGACGCAAGTTATCCCTGAGTCTATTCCTATTGCTTGCTTTCTTGTAGTTTTCTTTTGTGGGAACTTGAGCCACTTAGCCAATGACACCATGGATTTCTCACAATAGTTTCCCTCCTGGATTTATTTTCTTTTTCGTCATGCTTATGTATATGTGTCTGTATGCACATGTGAGTGCTGGTGTGTCAGTGGAGGCCAAAGGCATTGGATCCCCTGGAACAGGATTACAGGTTACTGTGAGCCACCAGACATAGTGCTAAAATCAAACTCAGGTCCTCTGGGGAAGCAGTAGATGCTCTTAACTGCTGAGCCATCTCTCCAGCTCCTGCATCACATTTTTGTTTGCTGGCTTTAAAAAAATTGTGTGTGTGTGTGTGTGTGTGAGAGAGAGAGAGAGACAGAGATAGAGAGGGTGTGTGTATACATATGTTACAGTACCCATGTGGAGGTCTGAGTGTGAAGTTAGTTCTCTTTTACCCTTACGTGGGTTTCGGGAATGGAATTCAAGCATGGCAAACAGGTTTGCCTGGTTTGTTAGGCCCTCCAGGAATTCTCTTGTCTTGTTAGAGTAGCACTGAGATCACATATGTGTGCCTTCATACTTGGATTATGTAAGTCCTGGACACACAGGCCCTCCCTCATGCTTACATGCCAAATGCTTTACTTACTGGGTCATTTCCTGAGCCCTTTGTTAGCTTTTTGAGATGGGTTCCATTTTGTATCCTAGTCTGGCTTCAAATTTTTTTTCCCCCTTTTGGTACAGGGTCTCACTTTGTAGCCCTGGCTGTCCTGGAATGCATAGAGATCTACTCACCTCTGCCTCTAGAGTACTGGGATTAAAGGCAAGCTCTAACCTTACCTGGCTTTAATTTTAAATTCTTGATTCTTCTGCCTCAGTTTTTCCAGTGCTGGGATTATAAATATGTGGAGCTCACTCTGTGACACAGGCTGGTCTTGAACTTGCAATAATCATCCTGCCTTAGTCTCATAAGTGCTGGGACTACAGGCATGAGCACTGTATGCAGCTTCATAGTTCCGAATCTTCACGTGAGCATTGACTATGGTACAATTCTTTCTGCCCACCCTTCTGTTGCAGAAGCAAAACCAGCTCCAGAAATATTTGAAAATGAAGTCATGGAACTGCTGAGAGAGTTCACCAAAAACAAAAACAAAGAGCAGAGACTGCGGGCCCCAGATCTGGAATATCTCTTTGAAAAGCCTCGTTAAGCTGTGTGCCACTGGCGGTCATGGTGGTCAGTATATGGACAGAAACTGCTTCTGGTGTAGACTCTGACTTCCTGCTCTTTCTTAGGCACTTGAACCTCTACCAGGACAGACATGTAATATCCAAGATGGCTCACTCATTCTAACCTGCTCTTGTCTGTACAGCTCAGGTCAGACTCCTTATCCTGCTGCTATGTGCTGTAGTGCAGGCCTGCCACAAGAGGGCACTGTAGGGGAAGCAATTCAGCTGTCTCAGCCCCAAGAGTACAAAAAATGCAGCTGCTATTTGAAGAGCTGCCCACCCTACACCCAGTGCCCTGGCCTTTGTTAAGGTAAAACTACCCCCTTCCAATCTGGTATAGTTCTTTCTGCCAGAGAGAGCCAGTCTAAGCCCCTGAACTGAGCCCACCCAAGGCACAGCAAGCTGAAGGAGGCCGCCAAGCAGGAATGGTGTGGGTACGCTGCTGAAGTCAACATCCTCTCAGATTTTCTTCCCAACATGCACTTTGTAAGCTGAAAGATAATTGAATATTGAACGCTATCAAGAGAAGGAGGTTGGCAGTTCTCTAACCCTTACAATTACCTTCATTTTGTCTGTTCCTATACAACCCATAATCATGCTAATAATGAGGTTTTACAAACTTATAGTCAGGTTTTCTGACCTTGTGGCAGTCGCTGTGGCAAACTTTCCCCCTCATTCCTACAGCTTTTAAAGTTATTTTAGTTGACCAAATAATAATGCCACATAAGAAATAACATGTTAACTGGGTGTCATAGGTCATGTCTGTAATCCCAGCTCTTGCGGTCCTGAGGTAGGAGTAACATTAAGAGTTTGAAGCCAGCCTGAGCTATAAAGTAAGTTTGGGGCCAGCCTGGGCTATATAGTGAGTTTGAGGCCAGCCTGAAGCACACTTATTAGAATGAAGTAGCTAGGAGGAGGGCTGTGCGTTGATGATGGTGTTCTCTTTGCCCTACAGCTGAGGAGAGGCAGTCCCTGGCTGGTGTGTGAAAGTGGTAGCTAAAGAAAAGCAGAACTGATAAACACAGGGTTGGTAACTCAAGAGCTGTAGACAAAGGGAAACAAAGAGTACCCTGGCCAAGGGAGGAAGTGGGGAAAGCAGCCTTCAGTTATTTCATAGCATTCCCACAGACAGGTGGCGGTAGGCCTGTTTTATAGACAAGAGAGTCAGTCATACATCCATGATCAAAAAGCCAAAATGTGAGGCTGGAGAGGTTGCTCAGTGGTTAAGAGCACTGACTGCTCCCCGAGGGGACCCCGGCTTAGTTCTCAGCACCTACATGATGGCTCACAGCTGTCTAACTCCAGTTCCAAAGGATGTCGGTGCCCTCTTCTGTTCTCTGGGCACTCATACGCTTTCTGTACAGACATACATGCAGGCAAAACATATAGAATAAAGTAAATAGGTTGGAGATATGGCTCAACAATTAAGAGCACTGGCTGATTTTCCAGAGGACACAGGTTCAATTCTCAGCAGCTCATAACTAGCTACAGTCCCAGGGGATATGACATCCTACACAGACATGCATGCAGGGAAAACGTCAATGCACATAAAAATAAATCATGAAAAAAGAGAAAAAAAGCTGGAATTTATTATTTTATTTTTCTTTCTGCTAGACAGCAGGGCTTCACTGCTAACGTTGAGTAACAACCTTCACTTCTGGACATTGCACTGGAAAAGAGAAGGCCAGTAAATAAACGGCAGTTCTGAGACACGAGCTCTGTGTTGCTCTGTGGTGAGTAGGAGGCCCCCAGCTATTTCCCAGATAAGGGACATTTCCTCACCTTGGCCACCCAAAATAACTCTGATAGCGGAGGAAGCAGTGCAGCATGATGGTTGTGAGTTCAAGCTTCCCCTTCATCACTTAGCTGCTGAATAAACTCACTGGCCTAAGCTTTGGTTTCCAACTAGCAGCAGAAATCACTTGAGTCTCGAGAAAACTAGGAACTATAATTCATAACACTGGGATGGCTCCCAGCACACAGGGCACCATAGGAAGACAGGAGACTGCTTGTAGCCTCACCCCGAGACTTAGAGCCTGTCATCTAACAGATTGCTCATCATCAGTTGCATGCACACATGAGGGCAGTTTTGTCTGAAAGTCAGAAGGCTAAGCCTATTAAAGTAACCACAGAGTTCCTTACCAGCCAGTGGAAACTGGAAAGAAAAAACCTACCTTGGTGACAAGTCCTTTGGGAAAGTATAGCTCTCTCTCACTTAAAGCAAGTAATGGGGAATGAGACCTAGGGAGTAGAAGCAGAAGGTTACAGAGATGCTGGCCCTTCGTTTGGGCTTCTGATGTCCCTTGGGGGGTGCTAAATAGGCAGGGTTTATATATAGAAACATCCGGACTGTAAGGAATGCACAGGAATTGCTAGCACTTCCCTATTTATCCTGAGCACATTACACAACAAACCCCAGAAGCCACGTATGCTGTGTCGGCTCTCCCCACCTCGACTCTGATCCCGTCTTACCCTCATTTGTCTTATTTCACACAGTGTTCGGTTGCTGTCACTTGCACCTGAGAATGGCATGCTTCTAAAGGAACTGTTTTCCTTCTATGCTGCTGGTTTGTGTAATCTTTGAAAGTGAAGGATCGTGCTACCTTGAGCTGCTCAGTGTCAAGCCCAAGGGTGCTATGTAAACACTTTTCCCCTTTATTAGGCATTAAGGAAAACTAGGCCGGCCACAGTGCATTTTCAAAAGAGTTAATAAATGTATCACCAGGGCCAGCAGCTCCCCAGGACCCATAAGAATCACCAGCTAGACTCATTGTTCTTAGTTTGACATGTTGCTGCTCACTGACCTCATTCAGAGCCTGCGTCAGACACATGAGTATCTGACCTGCAGAGTATGGGTTACTTGATTAGAGTTACAGGTAGGAAGTGATAGGGTCTGAAAGGAGGCAGTGTCCCCCCACAGGGCTACCGTGTGTCATGCCGCTTCATGGCACTAGCCCCTTTGTAGATCTTGCCGCAGTCTGTGGAAGGCTGCCGATCCTGATGACTCAGCTGTGGCTACCCTTTAGTGGCTCCCTGTAGAACTGTTAGTCACTTCTTGTAAAATCATGCCTAGTATAATTAACTTAAAAGGAGAAAAGGTTTGTTTTTAACTCACAGTTTCAAAAGTTATGGTCCATGGTTGACTGACTCTGTTACTTTGGGGCTTTTGACAGAGCACCACAGCAGAAGGGTATGGAGTCCCAACATTCTTCATCTCAGTGGGCAGGCAGTAGGAAGAAGCAGACAGAATTGACAAGATGCATCCTGGGTATGTCTCCAGGACCTACTTTCTCCAGCTAGGCCCCACCTCTTGCTATTTACTACCTTCAAATAATGCCACCATATGATAACTCCATAAGGAGCGAGGTCAGAGTCCTCAGGAGCCAGTCACTTCCCAAAAATGTATCAGCTGGCAGTGCAGTCCCCAGTATAAGCCTGTGGGAGTCATTTCATATTCAAACTGTAATGAGTACCCTGGGGCATTGATTTTCACAGAGAGATGGTCACAGCCTTAGCCACTGCAGACTTAATTACTTAAGCCCTCCAAGTAGGACACATGAAGCCAAACTCTTCATGAGCTCAGACTTCCTCTGGACTTAGAGAGGGGGAGAAAGAGGGAAGGATTAGAGTTCTTATTCTACTGTGAGTATTTTCTACTCTCCTGCCCAACAAAGACAAAGTCTAGTGCTTACAAGGTTGTCCTGTCACTTACTGGCTGTTTCCTCAGTGTGGGTGAGGGGGATGGCTGAGGGTTGGATGAGTGTTGTCAGCAAGCACATGGGGACCTCATTCCAGGGTCCCCACATTGGCTTTCACTCCATCACAGCTTCTGTTTCAAGGCTGATGCTGACAAGCCAGCCTCCTGAGGTTCCTCCTGAGGCTGGAGACCCTGAGGCTGGCAACCCTGAGGCTAGCCCTCTTTAGCTGGACGCTTGCTCCCGGACCCCTGCTGCTCCTGGCTCCCATCCCTCAGCAGAGTCATGCCGCGGGAGGTTTTAGTGGATACTGAATTAGATCCTGTCTGAGTAGAAACAGGATGAGCGATGCTCAGAAATCTAATTGGAAAGATATACTGTAATGGTTTTCACTAGACACTGGGGATGGAGAAGAATGGGCCTTGTCTTTTCTTGAAGCGCTCACTGTTGTCTTCTGTGCTTTATTTCATTGATTGCCAAGCAGCGTGCTATGCTCAGTACCAGACACACAGACAAATCAATGAGATAAAGCCCACACCCCAGGGATGGCTGAAGAGAAGGCTTAGGAGGCCTTGTCTGTGTCTCAGCCACTGACACCCCCCCCCCCCCGGGCAGCAGCAGGGCAGAAGCTAGCCTTGGTTGATAGGTCTGTCTTTGCAGCAGCAATGAGGACACTAGGCCACAGAATCTTTAAGGCCATACTTATAATAAGTTCATTATTCTCCATTCAACTCATCAATCGGGATTGCCAGACAGACTCTTAAGCCTGGCAGCCTTACCCTTTGCTGTGCAACTTTTTAAAAAATAATTTATTATTAAATTTATTTTATGTGCATTGGTATGAAGGTGTCAGATCCCCTGGAACTGGAGTTGCAGACAGCTGTGAGTTGCCATGTGGGTGCTGGAACTTGAACTCAGGACCTCTGGAAGAGCTGCCAGTGCTCTTCACCACTGAGCCATCTCATCAGCCCCTGCTGTGCAGCTTTGATGGGATCAGCCATGGCTCTGGCATTGGCTACTGATTGCCAGTGATCGTGAAGCTCTCGTGATGAGTGCGTACTCTAGTTCTCATGCCATCTGTGAACCTGCCCAGGCCACGTGTGGAAAGTGAGGGACTATGTCTAAGCCACCCCCAGTCTCAACTGACATGTTAATTTGGTAAAGACAGGAAGAATTAGGCTGAGCAGTTAAGCACGCTCACTGCCCTTGCAGAGGACCTGAGTTGGGTTCCCAGAACCTACATGGCAACTCAAAACTGTAACTCCAGTTTCAGGGCAGTATCTTTCTCTGACCTCCACAGGTACTGTACATACATGGTGCATAGACAAACATGCAGGCAAGATACTCATACATATAAAATAAAAATAAATCTTTTTCTAAAAAGACCAGAATTAGCACATCCAGTCCTAATTGCTAACCCACAAACTCTTATGGGTTATTAGTTCATACCACCAAGTTTGGGCTCATGTGTTATGTGTCGTTATTGTCTCAGTTGATAATTGATGCCGGTGGTAAATTGGGCTCCAATGTAGCCTTGTTTACGGGGAGAAAAGTCACCGATTGCCTAGTGTGAATGAAAATTTGTCCCTTGAACTGGAGAACTTCCCACTTCAATTTGTGTTTAACTTTAGAAACATGCATGGGGATAGGGCAGGGCATGTATGACAGTCTGCGTGTGGAGATCAGAGGACAGCTTGTGGAAGTCCCTTTCTCTCCCTCCACCATGTGGGTTCTGGAGATTGAATGCTCCAGGCTAATAATACCGCAAAGCAAGCACCTTTACCTACTGAAGCCCTCAATTTTTTTTTTTGAAGGTAGTTACTTAGTATTTCCAACTCTAAGCACTTAGTACATCAATCTTACCTGAACACGTGCAATTTCTCCTTTGCTGTCTGAACAGCAAGTGATGACTAATACTATTGATCGTTTACTCCAACTATACTTGGGCTAGCCGTGGGGGCGGTACGTTGTTCCTAGGGATAGCTTTGCTCTGCCATCTTCCTTATCGCCAAGGAGTAGGATGACAAAGGAAGATTCCTCCCCCCTCCCCCCGCCCAGAGAGAAGGGCTGAGCCAACAGGAAGACTGAAAGTAGAGTCCAAGAGCCCAGCAGTGGCTGGCGTTCCCACTCAGCCTGAGCAGGTAACCAGGGTGGTCTACCAGGCCTTTGGTGGCTGAATGGTTGGACAAAGAGAAGCCACACAAACAGGAGACAAAACTATGCATATCACCACAGGTTCTGGACTTTGAGGTAGATATGGGGGCTTGTGCCCCGAGTATAAAGTAAATCTTGACTTGGCAAACAAAAGGATTGACGGTGCGAGAGATGAGGGTAGCTGGCCAGGATACCATTTCTGCTTTCCACTTCATTTCCACTTTGTGCATAAGTGGCTTACTCTGTAGTGTGTGGGAAACCTCTAGACACCCAGGGAACCAGAGGGAGCCTCAGTAAGGAGGTTGGTGCTGTTATCAGTCAGGCCAGAGGGATGTGGGTAAAGGAATGAAAGGCCTTGGTCCTCAGGACCTTCAACCGGCCATTGTACTGCAACTGATTTCCCAGAGGCCACTTGGTCAGAACAGTGGGCTACACAAAGCAGGAGGGCTGCCTGTATTATTTCAAACTGAGTATGAAGAAACCACCTTTCCTGCGGTAAGCCGGAGATTTAGCTCAGCTGTCATTTCCTTGTTATTGCTTGCTGCAGTTTGACACAGATTAGAACAGAAGGCTCATGGTGTGTCACCAGCTCATCTTAGAACAGGCTCATTGTGTGTCACCAGTGCAACTGGGGACAGTGACCTCATGGTGTGTCACTATCTTTCTACCTCATTACTCCCTTCCCAAGCACACTGAGACCTCTGCATCCTCAGACCATTGCTACTAAACCGTAGGAGAAACCTCTGACCTTAGATATACAGTCTGACGTTACCGTGGGCTTCTTGAGTCTCTGGTCATCCTTTTGCCTCTGTGAGTCATGGCCAAGTTGTGGAAAACAGTGATCTTTCTGATGCTGACCTCTTTTT